CATGTGTAGAATGACAAGATGATAATGACTGTAGAGGGGTTGTCAGGGGTTAAGGTCTGGGGAGTGTGTGGTGGGGTGACTATAGGGTAGGGGGCAGGAGGGTGAGTTTGGTGTTTGAAAGGAACAGCTCTGCATTTTAATGATGGTGATGGTCCCAGGAATAAACCCCAGTAACATTCCATAAACATACAGGGAGGATGGAGCAAGAGCAACATTTGAATAAGGTGTGTCGTTTAGTTAACAGTGTTGTACCCACGTCAGTTTCTTAGTGTAATGTCCGAGCCGCTCTTTCCAGGCAGCATGTGGCTAGAGATGTTATCACAGGGAGAAGCTACCTGGGAACTTCCTATTCTGTTTTACAACTTGGGAGGCTTACACGATTTAAGCACTGGCTACAGGTGCTCAGTGGTCAGGTACTGTGGGCTGCTGCCTTGGCGAGCAGCAGCGTGGGGAAGTCAGCCTTGATTTTAGGTCTTCATAGCTTAGGCTGTGACCCACTCTGTTAACACAGGAGGAGCGGGTGTCTAGTTAAGCATGGCAAGTTGACTTCAAGGGTCCTTCCTTGCCCACTGAGAGCACAAGATCATGATGGCAAAGGAATGAAACAAATGAAAGGGCTATAAATCTGCAATTCAGAGAGACTGGAAAGCTAGCATCGCTTGCCCAAAGGTGGCCCAACCAAGGCTGAAAACCAGGCCCCGCAGAAGGGAGCACTCCCCTGACGACCTCCTCCCATCCCCTCTTCCTGTCCCAGGTTCTTTCTTCAAACATGCACTTGCATCAGCAGCTGCATCTGCCTGGCAGACCAGCAGTGAATCTTAGGATCTACTGCAGCTGAGGATTCTGGACTTAACAATGGCAGCAGGGGTGGTGGTGGTGGTGGTGGTGAAATTTAACCCAGGAGACATAGGAGTTAAAAGACCGTCCACCCATTATGTTGAGAGATACCCAGCCCTCTTTCCGACCCTTGCTCCCAGAAAACCAGCCACCTCATCATTGTCCCTCTCCCCAGCCAAAGATAAGAACATTAACAACTGCTCTCCACCGTTGTCTCAGGCACCTGGCCCAATACTGTTTGTACCAAACCGAAACCAAACACTGCCGTTGAGTTGATTCCAATAGCGATCCGGTGGACGGAGCAGAAATGCTCCTTGGGGTTTCCAAGGCCATCATCCTTAGGGAAGCATGCTGCCCCATCATGCTCCCACAGAGAGCATTTGTTGGGCTCAAACTGCCAACACTGGGTTATCAGCCCAGTGCTTAAACCACCGTATCACTAGGGCTTGTTGTTGTAAAATCACTCTTCTCAATTGAATGAGTAGTGCTGGGGCCTTAAAAGCTTGACAGTGGCCATCCAAGATGCAACAACTGGTTTCTCCCCTGGAACACTAGGGGAAATGGACCCACCTCTTTGTTCTGTGAGCCTTTATCGCCATCAAGAACCTGAGAGATGAACCCTGATAAAAAAGAACAACGTGGAACCAGGCTTCTTCTTTATAGAAAGCAGATGTCCTGGACCCTCTGAGACACAGGGGAGACCTACAGGTGTTGGCCAGCGATGGTCTTTAAGCCTTCAACTGAAACCATCCCCCGCCGAGCTATCTTTTTAAATACCAGTTTAGCTGGGTTTGTAAAGAATTTTTGCCCCCCCGAGCAAGGGGCTTTTTTCAGGAATTATCTACAGGATATCAACTTGAAAACTTGGAACCACAGAGAAGCTTAGGGACCCGGGAGCCTGATGGGAACTGATAAAGCAAAGTGGGGTAGAAATGTGAAGAATGTAACCAATGGCACTGAAATGTATACATAGGGCAAGCTGAATGAGGAAACAATGTAGCAATTTCTCTAGAGAGCCCCACTGGACCCTGGCTAGTTCCTCACCTTGCTGTCCAGCCTGTCTGCTGTGAAGCCCAGTCATCCACAAGCACCCTGTGCGCACCCTTCAGCCAGCATCTTAGGGCTTTGCTTCTAAATACAAACTGGCAATAAGGGATCACCAGGTGATTTGAGAGGACTCCTGATGGCATTGTGGGTTACCTGTTGGGCTGCCAACTGTTAAAGATCAGCAGTTCAAAACTAACGGTGGCTCAGCAGTAGAAAGGGGAGACTTTCTACTCCCATCAAAATTTACAATCTCAGAAATGCCCAGGGGCAGTTCTACTCTGTCCTATAGAGCATCAGAATCAATTGGATGACAGTGGGTGCGTGTGGGAGGTATCTGAGAAAGGGTTGAAGACAAAAGACGAAACACCAAGCCACCAGAAGAAATCACGACCAGAGGATAATGGGGAACTGGAAGCAACACCCTCCAAAAAAGCACAATTACTCTGTTCAGAGAAGAGAAGATACTGTGTTCATAGTACAAGAGCAGGGTGCTTTGGAAAAGAAGCCATCGAGGAACTAGAATGCACTCTTGGGAATGAAAGATTTTCACAAGTTAATGAGTCCGTGTAAAAGGGCTCAAGATGTCAGACAGGAAAGAAAAGTGGAAAATCAGAAGGAAGTCAGGTGATTCAAGAATGGGTCCAGGATGTGTAAAATCCTAGTCAGAGTTCCAGGAAGAGCAGAGAGGCAAGAAATCAAATAGACACTTTATACCCAAAGGTATACATTTTCCATATGGATAGGGTCCACTGAGTGCCCAATAAAACAAGCTTTAAAATATTCACACTGAGACAGGCCATTAATGCCATTTCAGAACAAAGCCCAACAGAAAAGCACCAGGAATAAGGAAGGGGGTAGGTGGGGCTTGGGGTGGGGAGTCAGCTACAAAGGAAGACATTAGAGCAAGGCTGGATGCTAAAGACTACAGAGCAGCATCTCCAAAATTCTGAGGGAAAATAGCTTTCCATCTTTAATACTCTTCCTGTGGTATATCCATTCACATCATGTGTGTGTGAAAATTGAAAGACGAATAAGGAAGAATTGAATTGGTGCATTTGAATTACGGCGTGGACACAGTGGCCGCAACGATGGGTTCAAACATAGGTGTAGCGATGGCATGGGGCTGGGCAGTGTTTTGCTCTGTTGTAGCTACGTATGCATGCTGAGTCAGAATCGACAGGCAGCACTGAACAAGAATACTCCCCCTGGCAAAATATCAATTCTATGTCCAGGTAAGAATTTCAAGCAGCCAGGACCTCAGATTTACCTATTGCACATTATCATGCCTTTGGCCATTCCTGGAGCGCGAGCCCCAGCAAAGAGGAGGAAACTAAGAAAGAGAAAGGCCTTGATGCTAGCTAAAGAGAGCTGAAACCTAGGAGACCAGAGAGGGAAGGTCAAGGGCAACAGCACAGCAGGCTTGGACACGGTCAGGCTGAGCAGGAGGACGGAGGACTTGTGCAGGAGGTGCTGGGGAAATGGATCGGCAAGATCAGCTGCTGGTTTTGTGCGTCTGGAAAACCATGTCAATAGGCCTGTGATAGATCGAAAGGGAGCCCTGGTGCCTGAGTGGGTTACAAGTTGAGCTGCTAACTGCAAGGTCAGCAGTTCAAGTCCACCAACTGCTCCACAGGAGAAAGGGCTTTCTACTCCTGTAAAGAGCTGCTGCCTCAGAAACGCTAAGGAGCAGTTAGTTAGTTCTCCTTTGTTCTATAGGGTTGCTGTGATCCAGAATGGACTCTATAGCAGTTTCATTGAAACCTACGCAAAAGATATATATATATAAATTATTAATCCCAGGCAAAACAAAAATGCTCTGTTGAGAAAGAAAATGCCCTTCTCAGAACATTCCTTGCATCATAGTGACCAGTGTTGACAAAGACATTCAAGTAATCACTGGTTATTGATTTAAAACCATGACTGAAAACAATTGGGGGAGGGGAGTGGGGTGTAGTGAGCTAAACCACCATCCACTATCATAGAAAGCCAGGGCCAACAAACTCACTGCCATCGAGTCAATTCCGACTCATAGGAACTCTGAAGGGCAGGATGGAACTATCCCTGTGGTTTTCTGAGGCTCTAACTCTTTACAGGAGTAGAAAGCCTCATCTTTCCCCCAAGGAGCAGATGCTGGTTTTGAACTGCTGACCTTGTGGTTAGCAGCCCAAAAGAACCCACTAGGCCTCCAGGGCTTCTAGAAAGCAGTGTTGTTGCTGTGAGGCTCCCACCCATAATGGTCCCATGCACAACAGAAGGAAACACTGCAGTCCTGCACCACCCTCACCATGACTCCTATGCCTGAGCCCATTGTTGCAGCCACTGCATCCGTCCATCTCCTTGAGGGCCGGCCTTCTTCGCACCTCCACTTTGCCAAGCATCATGGCCCTTCTCCAGGGACTGGTCTCTCCTGACAACATGTCTGCCCAAAGTATGTAAGAAGAAGTCTCACCACCTCACCTTGAGCCTCGGTCTCACTTTGTGAACACAGATCGAAAGCCAGTCGTCTGATGCCACGTGGAGAAAGCATCATGCAGTCACATCACTGAAGTGAGCGCAGTACAAAAGAACAGCAATGACCGCTGCAAAATGAAAACCCTGAGAGGCAGAGGAGGGGCTGACCTGCTGACCTGCCAGCCAGCTGCTGAACACTTGAGCCACTGGCCACCAGGGTACTTAGGCAGAGCCAGAACCCAGTTTCTTGGAAATGTCTGTCAGACTGACAGCCCAAGCATCCCATATAATTAAGCACGGAGCTGCTTGGGGAGAATGACAGCCATTAACCTACTTAAACTCCAGGAGTGTTGGTTCCTGGTCCCAGGGCCCCTGGGGGTGGGGTGAGGTGGTGGTTAATCTTTGATGAGAGAGACAAGAGTCTACAGTGAGATCCATTTATAGTAGGCTCTCTGGGCAGAGGGGACACCAGGATGACACCCAGCTCACCTGCCCCAGCAGGTCGGAAGTGCTTGCTGTTGTTTCAAACTGGACACCTGTTGCCCAGTTGCCTAGACGACTGGCCATGTGCATCCTTCCTCAGCGGCACCGTGACGAAAGCTATAGAGCACTCAGCGTGTGTGTAGTTTGTCAATTTGTCTTGTTTCTTTTCTGTTCCTCTCCAGAATGTTATGGAGCAGTTCAACCCTGGGCTTCGGAATTTAATAAACCTAGGAAAGAATTATGAGAAAGCGGTTAATGGTAAGTCTTTCCCTTTTTTGTTACATTTATTAACAAGAAGCAATTATGCAGGCTATTTGATGTGCTCGATGTTGAATTTGCCAAGTATCTTTAAATGAGTTGCCATGAAACCCAAAGGAGCCATTCTGCCCGTCTGTCTTGGATGTCAGGGAGTAGGTGGCAGTGTGTTGGTGGTTTCCGGGTTTGGTCTAGAACTTTGCTGTGATCAGCTCCGTAGCATATTTGAAATGAGTGGATTGAATCATAGTGATGTAAATAATGTACCTTACCTGCCAAGTCGTGCTCTATGATATGGGTCAACCTCGTACGTCACTACTGTGAGCAATAATGCTCTTAAACTAAATTCTTTGTGAATTGATAACATATATATGAAGGGCGTGGGGAGGAGAGGGGCTCACACCATTGAGTCGATATAATTACCCTAAGAGCATAACCAGAACACATTTCCTGCCACGGCAAAACAAAAACACAACAAGCCCACTGCCATCAAGTGCATTGCAACCCTAACAACTCTGCAGGACTGGACAGAACTGCCCCATGTGGGTGTCCAAGCCCGTAACTCTCCGCAGGAGCAAGGAGTCTCATCTTTCTCCCTCAGCGTGGCTGGACTTCCTTTCCTTTCATTTGGATAAAATCCAAAAGCTCTATGGCTTTTGTGAGTGATGCCAGCATTTTTTGCCTGAATAGTAAAATATCTCAATTAAAGGCGGCCCTTAGACTCCTCTGTCAACCTAAGTGTTCCACTCCAAAGGAGGTTGAGCCCGGGCCTCTGTCTCCCCTTGTGGAACGGAGCGTTGGCTGCTTTGGACAGACAGCATTCAAGGAAGCTGACATTTTTATACAGGATATTTCTGTAGTAGGGAGTGGGTGCTGTCCACACCTAGCGCTGATAACCTCATGATGACCATAACTGGTAGCGTAGTGGTTACGCCTTGGACTGCAGTCTGCAAGGTGAGCAGTTGGAAACCACAAGCTGCTCTATCAGAGACAGATGAGATTTTCTACTCCCAGAAACCCCCAGGGGCAGTTCCACCCTGCCCTATAGAGTCGCTGTGAGTCAGCATCAACTCTGATGGCAGTGAGTTTGGTTTTTGGGAACAGCCACTGAACCACACCAAGTAAAGAACAGTCCTCTGTGTCACCGTAGGGCCCCTGTCTAACCCTCTGCCCCAGCCCCTTGACACTACAGACTGTCATTGCTAGCCCTGCTAGGTCTGAGGAAGGGCTCGGTCCCGCCTCCCTCACTGCCAGCCACTCCCTGCGGATATTTTGAAAACAAACTGTAGCCTCCCTCGGCCTCTATGTATCCCTGTCCAGGAGAGGTGCTGGAAGACCGTGGACGCCGGCATGGGGAGCGCTGAGGCCGTCAAGAGCGTGAACTGGACATTGACTTCTGGGTTGCTGGGCTGCTGCCAGGCCTCATCAGTACCAGGATCCCCAGCAGGCACGGAGTTTCCTCCCGGCCTGACCTCTCTCCAGTGGGTGCCCCGGCCTTCCTGGGCAGCAGGCCAGGCCCACTGTCTTGCACAACTGACACTCCCTTGGTGATTGCTCAATCACAAGGCCACAGAGTTGTTGCTTCAGCCATCTCTAACCTGTAAAGTGTTTGCTTTCTACACCGAGCCGCCTGCAGCTTGGCCTCCAGCTAGCCAGGCTTCTCTCCGAGGGCACCTCTATGCCTCTGCTCCCATATCACTTCAGTAGCTCCTGGGGAATCCGTCTGCGGTCCACACAGTGTACCTGGAATTAGTGTTCCTAATTTCCTGGAATTTCTGTGGACCATCTGGTGTAAAGTCCTGGTGCGTACCTGGGAGATGTGGTCTATGCAGAAGCACAGAGCTTCTAAGAATGGCTAGAACACTTATTCCACACTTGGTGGCTAGGCTGCTATATGAAAAATTGGCATTTTGCACAAATAGAGGGTGACTGTATCAATTCAAAATTCAGAGGACAGCGCCTTCATTGTCATCTAACTGCCTTTGTGCATCATTGCATCATCATGGGATTTCACCATTACCCAACTGCCAAATTACATCATTCCATAACTGCCAAATCTCAGAATCATGACCCAGCCAAGTTGACACATAAGAACAGCTGTCACAGCCAGCCTTACTCTCACTTTGCACCTCCATATTCGTTACAGCCAGACGCACCTTGTTATTGTGCAAAATAATTGGGTAGGTCTTTTACTGTTGTAAATGTGGCGTGGTCCAGTGAGGAGACAATCCCTAAGTCAGGAGTAAGTGTATGCGGGGCCTTCAAAAAGTTCATGGGAACATCCATTAGCGCTTCATTGTTTTTTTAGGAACTTATTGGAGTTCCCTTGTATAGTTGAAGATTCCAGGTGTGCAACCAACAAGTTAAAATGCAAGGGAGTATGGAAATGGTGGATGGAGATGGAGATGGGGCAGTGTGACAGGATTTTGAACCGGGAGGCTGGTGTGGGATGGAGCCGGCAGGAGGCCATAGGTAACCGAGGCAGGTGACTGATTCCAGGCTTCCACAGGCAAGCAATAAACAGGCCGAAGAGATAGCCCTCAAACCCAGCCGGGGGCCTCAGGAGGTGGCAGTAGTGAAACATAAAGATGGGACCTTGTCTTCCTCTTTTTTGATGAACCTCCACTTGACCAAACATGATGTCCTTCTCCAGGGACTGGTCCCTCCTGATGACTTATATCCAGAGTACATGAGCAAAGTTTCATCATAAGCCCACCATAAGGTCTCATCAGCTACCTATTACTACATAACAAACTGTCCCCAAAGTTTGGTGGCTTAAGACAACAATTTATTATATCACAGCCTGGGCAGGGTCCCCTGCCCCTCACCCTTTTTCTTGTTGTTGTTGTTTTTAAGGAGACTGTACTAAGCTCCAGTGTAAAAAAACAAACAAACCCAAACCCACTACCACTGAGGCCACTCAGACTCATAGCAGCCTGACAACAGAGTAGACTGCTCCACAGGGCTTCTAGGGCTCACTGTCATCGAAGCAAGACCGCCTTCTCTTTCTCCCAGGGAGCAGCTGGTGGGTCCACACTTCACCTTTCAGTTCCCTTACCCCATGGTGCCACCAGGGCAGATGTACAAAGGATCCTTAAACGGTCAAAGGTAGAGAGCTCAGGGGTCCTATTCTCTTACAAACAAAAAACCGTTTTATTAGAACATGATCCACATAGCATTCAGTTCAATAGTTTCATCATATCGAGAAGAGTTGCACAATCATTGGGGCAGTTCTCAGTTCTTTAGAGTTCTAGGGTTGGTCTTTTCTGCTTTAAGGCCAGGTGGGGTCCTCAGTTCCAAGACGTATCAGCTCCAGATCACAGTACGTACCAAACCGATGTGGGCGGACGTCCCATTGAACAAAGGCAATCGTGGCCACGGCCAGCAGTGTAGAGAGGGGCTAGGAATTCTGGGAGGTGTGGTTTATTGAAGGCCATTACTGTAAAAATCTCCCACCAGCTCTGCCAAGCATGGGTACTCTTGTCAGCAAAGGGAGAACCCCAAAGGCTTTTGAGCAGGACAGCAAGGCGCTGCTGAGAGAATGTGTGAAGGAACCTGAACCTGGTAGAATATGTCAACGAGAGGGAAGCAGATGATCAACCACAAAACTAGAGCTCCAGTGTTTCCTCTTCCTTAAATCAGCCTGTGGTATAAGCTCCCCTAGTGTGTTCACAGTGAAAGTAATATTCTGCTCTATATTCATTTTGAATGAATCATATACTTCTCAGCTAAGTCAGCCTTTTCATAAAAGCAAGATATTTTTACTAGACTGAGGAAATTGAAGGATCCCTGCTTGGTGTAGTGGGTTACGCTGCCCAACAAAAGGGCAGCAGTTTGAAACCTCCAGCAGCTCCATGGGAGAAAGATGAGGCTGTCTGCTCCTGCAAAGATTTACAGCCTTGGAAACCCACAGGGGCGGCTACCTGTACTCTGTCCTGTAGGGGTCACTGAGCTGGAAACAGTCTAGGGTCAGGGAGTGAGATTGAATGGTGAAACAGTTCATGAAAAAAATTCAAGGTAGTGGGTGATGCTAACCAAAAATGTTAATACATGGTGTAACCATTCTCCCGTGAATTGGCTTTTTGACTTATAAGTGCCCAGGAGTGTTTACTCTTCATTCGAAGACTGTACTGCTATTAATTTGACAGCTCTTGCTGGGTCCAGACATCTTGGCAGTGTGGATGAGGCCAGAAGTTGAGCCAGCACCAGAATTCAGAGCTGCAAAAATGCCCACTGCTGTACTTCCATGCACCTGACTGATTGCTAGCCTGGGATGTGCCCTGCTGGATCTCCTCTGCTGAAGCAGGGTCATTGCCTTGGCCTCTGGGGCTTCTGAGGGTCCGAGAAGTTAACCGAGTGGTTACCCAAAAGATCTGCCTCCTTGCTACGGCCTGTGTTGTTTATGCTTGCACTTCACAGTGACAGCCCTGGTCTCATTAAATCTCAGAGAAGCATCATCACAGCCCATTACCTAAACGAGCAGATAGTAAAAGCCCTTGCTTGGGTCGAAATGCTAAAACAGAGAAATGGACTACCAGGAATACTAAGTTGAGGGCCTGCAGGACAGTCAGCTGGGCCCATGGGGGTGGGGGGTGGGGGTGGGGGGTGTTCTGCCTGCAGTCGGCCCTGAGAGGTCAGTGAAGGCTTTGGCACAGTCAGCCAATGAAGTCGTCCATGAAGGAAAACTTACCTGGCAGAAATATGTTGATGCTGTGGGTGAGGGAGTTATCAACCACTAGCACCTTTCATTCCATACAGCAGGAAGTGGTGGGCCCTCCCTTCCTGCATTTTCACGCCCTCCTGTTTTCAAGCTGGACCATCATCCGTCAGATCAAGGCCACAGTCTTGGCCCCTGGCTTTTCTCTCCATGAAAGGATGGAACTGGTTTGGGACTCCTTCTTAAAAATAACAGTAAGAAGAATAGACATATATACCAAACTAATTGTTATATGAATTGTACAGTTGCTTTTATGAATTTGGTAAAATTAATGATTTTAGAATTAAATACAACCACGAATACTTGAAGCTTTAGTCTAGTGATCTAAAGATGAGTTGCATGAAGTAAATCTGCACAAAACCTCTTTAGAGTATTGAAAAGCAAGGATGTTACTTTGAGGACTAAGGTGCACCTGACCCAAGCCATAGCATGCTCCGTTGCCTCATATGCATGTGAAAGCTGGACACTGAATAAGGAAAACCAAAGAAGAATCGATGTATTTAAGCTGTGGTGCTGGAGAAGAATATTGAACATGATGGACTGCTAAAGAGACAAACCAGCCTATTCTGAAAAAGCAAGGATGGAAAGACTTCATCGTACATGCTTTGGACAAGTTGTCGGGAGAGACCAGTCCCTGGAGGAGGACATCACGCTTGGTAAAGTAAAGGGGCAGCGAAAGAGAGGAAGGCCTTCAATAAGATGGATTGATGGACACAGTGGCTGCAACAGTGGACTCAGGCATAGAACAATGGTGAGGATGATGCAGGACCAGCAGTGTTTCCTTCTGTTGTGCATAGGGTCGCTATGGGTCGGAACCAACTCAGTGGTACCCAACAACAACAGAAAGCATCAGGCTATAGACAGAACATTGACAAAGCCATCCACAAGGAGATGTGATGGACAGATGCGCACACTCTTGGTGGGCTGTGGTGGCAGAGATCACGGGCTCCTAATAGCAGTTGGCAGGTGCCACCAACTAGAACTGAGCAACGTCACTGAATTAGGAGATTGCCCTGCCTACTTTCCCCTGGGATCCCGGTTGCACACTGATAGACTACAGTTCTTAGGTCCCAAATGCAATGGTCCCTAAGACTACAGAAGAATAGGATTTCTACATGGGAAACCAATCTTGAGGTAAAACCACTGAGTGGACCTCCCCCCAGGCAACTCTGTAAGCAAATATGAGATCTTGTTTTAAAGCCTGCTGGTCACAGATCTTCAGTGCCTTCTCATTGCCATTGAGTCGATGCTGACTCATAGTGACTCTGTAGGGCAGGTAGGACTGTCCCTGTGGGTTTCAGAGACCCACATTATGGGAGTAGAAAGCCTCATTTTTCTCGTGTGGAGCAGCTGGTTATTTCAAACTGGTGACCTTGTGGCAGCAGGCTTCTGTAGACCTTCAGTCTAGTTTGTGAAGGTAAAAGGAGGAGTTGGCATCTGCCCCTGCCATTTGTCCACTCAAGGCTCACAGTATTACGATTCTGCCCAGGGGGACCTTAGTTTCAGCGTGAAGAGGTACGTCCCAAAGCCATGTAGTTAGAAGTAAAGGTGGAATTCAGACCCGGGTCTGCCTTACCGCAAAGAAATAAAAAACGGATGTGTGCTCTTTATAATTCTGTCTTACAAATCAGTTTTGAGGGAGGAAATTATATCTTAAAGATACTTAGACACCCCCGCAACTGGAATAGCAATAAAGGCATTCCTGGTTTTTCCTTACCTCCAAAAATTAGCATGTGCAGTGTTTATTTTCTGACAATTTTCTTGTTTTAGGGGTTGATGGCCAACTGTGGAGTTTGTCGACATCTCCCTGTCAACAAGCAGGTCCTTTGTTTATGACTCTGAATGCTTTTTTCTATAGAAGAGATTTCAGGCCTCATGTCCCAGGCCACCCTGCCTATGTCCTTTGACTGGGGAGCTGTGTCTCTGCCCTGTGGTGGGCACTGTGGGAGGACCTCACGTGCTCTCTTGATAGGTAGATGATGGCAATCACTCCGGAGCTGTGAGCATCTCTACTGGGGTGGACCTGGAGGCTTCTGACCAAGGATCAGTCCTGCCCTCTCTCAACCAGAAGGGACCCGTGTACAATTTGAAGCCACAGCCACGTGGTGTCCTTGCTGAAGTGACCAGCGTGTGTCTGTCCTCTTCCCTCTCTAGCGATGATCCTGGCAGGGAAAGCCTACTACGACGGAGTGGCCAAGCTCGGCGAGATTGCTACAGGGTCCCTGGTGTCGACAGAGCTGGGTAAGCCCAAGTCCCTCAGCACCCATGGGCGCTGTTGCCTCGATCGTGGGGAAGGAAGGCTGGTCTGACACTTGCTTTTTGGCTCCCTGTAGTCTACTGAAGGCTGGTGGCTGAGTGGCGGGGCCTTGGGCGGCAGTCCTTGGGCTCCTTGGGGCAGCTGCTCCCCAAGCCTTGGGCTCAGCAGGCCTCGCCCCCACCGCCCTGACTGGAAGAGGCACACCCGGCCTCCGGCCTGCCCTTGTGGTGGGAGCTTTCCTGTGACTCACCTGGCAGCAGGTCTGACTCCTCATGCTGTTCCCTTGACGTGGCGGGGCTTGTCTGGTTCTGCTGGTCTGAATGGGGTTTCTGTGCAGGCTCAGGGCAGCGGCCTCCTGGCTCTGAGTCTCACCTGCCCTGCAGTCCACCCCGCACATGGCCCTCAGCTGCATGGCCACAAAGAGCAGCACTGTGGTTCAGTGCCTGTCCTCACTGGAAAGGTTCCGAGAAGCAAAAGGAAAAAAAAAGTTCATTTGTTTGTAAGAGGATGCATGAGTGAGTAAGTGTGTATGTGTGAGTGAGTGTATGAGTCAGTGTGTGTGTGTGATAGTAAACATGAGTAAGTGTGTATGTGAGAGTGTAAGAGTATGCATGTAGCATGTGGATGAGTGGGGTGAGTGTGAGTAGGTTTGTGTGTGTGTGTGTGTGTGTGTGTGTGTGTGTATACACACAAGTGCATCTCGCTCCCATAAAAGGGAGGAGCATGGACCCAGAAACAATGGAGAGAACTCCAGCAGAAAATGCTTTGTGGGTTTGGCAAAGTCAGTCACTTAGCAAACCCTCACTCCCACAGAAGCGGAGGACTGAGCGAGATGTGTGAGGTGGTGGCGGGGCTGCCGTGGGCCTGCGCACTCGGCGCCGTCCTTCAACCACCACGTGTGGCACCCGTGGCCAGCTGTCCCCTGCAGCCAGGCTGTGTGACAGACAAGTCTGAATTGTTGTATGTCCCAGACTCAGCTCCCTGCAGAAGGCATCCAACACCCCGACCTGAGCTGCGGGCAGGGCCAGCTGCCGGAGCCCCGTCAAAGCACTCCCCGGTTCAGCCAAACACAGGCAGCATTATGCTCGCGGAGGCCCATAGCCACGCTTGTACATTTGGGGGAGGCCAAAGGAGGGAGGCATGGAAATGATGATAGGTTTCTAAGAATAGGACCAAATTTTAAAAGAAATGTCCTATTTGTGTCAAGGGGTGGGGAGGGCGAGTCAGACCCGTTGCGGGAAAACCCGGGGCACTCCCACTTGGTGCCCACCAGTGTGGCTTTCTAATGTTTGACAGTCCTTGTCACTGTTTAAATAAGCAGCCTTGCTCCCCTGCTCGGGCCCCGCACCTAACTTTACTCAGCTGTGAGTTCATCGGTTGAGTCAGCGCTTTCCCCAGCAATACTGGCGTTGCCACAAACACGGGCTGGGCCCACAGTTCCTCCGTGCTGCTGTTGGCTTGTTCTGTTTTCAGAGGGAGTGGAGACAACTGCTGGGCCTCTGTGCTCCCTGCAAGTTGCTGCCGCATGCCTGCCTCAGCCAACAGAGGGTGGGCCCCGCCAGCGCCTGGCGGCCCTCTCTGTGGTGGAGCTTTGGAATTGCTGCACAGGGGTTCCCGAGCCTGCATCCTTGTTGAGTGGAACTTTTCATCATTTGGGGAAAAGTTCACAGAGCACGTTCTTTTCCCATTCAGCAATTCAGGCACCTTGTGTTTCCTGAGAGTTGATCGCAAGCTCCTCAATGGAGAAGCGTTCTTCCTGGTTACCTTTCAGCCATGTCTCCTGCCCCTTCCTGTGAGAACTGATTGATTTACTGGCAGCAAGTTTGTGGTATTGGTTGGTTGATTGGTTGGTTGGTTGGTTGGTTGGTTGAGTGAGTTATGGTTGATTTTTCTGAGGAACGTGTTCATCCTCTGCGGAGTGTAATCTCCATCTGTTGCTTATCTGAAGGTTGACACAAAGGGATTGGGGGTTCTGGTCCAGGCTGGAGGGGTTGTCTGAAGGGCACAGTCTCTTGAGGGTACTACCCGTCTTGGCCATTGTCTTCACTAATCTTAGTTGTCACACGCCCTCACTCAATCTGTAGGACAGAGGAAAACTGCCCCCACAGGGTTGTTTTGGCTGTAGTCTTTTTTTTTCTTTTAATCTTTTTATTGGGTGCTCTTACAGCTATCATAACATTCCATAGTTCAATAACATCAGTGTTATAAAATTGCTACAACACCCCTGAGAAGAATGTATCTCAAAGGATGGCACTGAATCTGCAGCTTCGGGAGAAGGATATATCTGACCAGAGCACACAGGAGCAGATGACAGTGGAGGAGGAGAGACTGGAGCACATCCTGGCCCACCAGGCCTTGAGGACGATGACCCCAAATAGAGCA